TTTTTTTTTCAATGAGGAGTGTGCACACCCGGGTGTTGACCCGGGTGTGCACACATCATTTTCCTACAATTAAAATGCCAAGCATGTATATATATAACTATAATATGAGTTTTTATTTTTTTTTTTTTGAGTTTTAACCATTATGATGTTTTTAACCAATTAATTGTGTTCATTTTGAAACTAACACATTTTAAAGTGACCTTAATAAGACACTCACATCAACCTAATTTTGATGTTGATCCTAAAACTTAAATTTTGAAATGAATATACAAAATGATGATATTTTTTTATACCTATCAATAAATTCAAATTTTATCAAAGAAGAAAGTTGATAGTTCCATTTTTGTATATTCTTCTATGTTTCATTTTAAAATATGATTAAGTTCAGCAAGTTATTCCAAAGCTGGTGATGGTCGTCTCTCCCTATTTCTCTACACATACAAATGACTGATTGTGCACAACATCTCTATCACATATGGACAGACTGGATTCATACTCTGATCCTGAGTCTTGAGTATTCGAGAGTCTTGAGTATTCTCTACTCCTGCCACCTACATTATATTACTCTTCAGATAATTTTACATTTGAAAATGATTGGTAAACACATTTAATAATATTTACTGATTCAGTAATTAAATTTTATAATTTAAATTTTTTTTATTTTAAATTAAAATTTAAAAATAATAATTTTTTAATAAATATATTATAAAATATGTTGAATTAAAAGATAAACTAATTATCGTCCTTCTACATTATATCTTTCTATTAGTACTCCCACACTGCCCATTTCTACCATCTCAAAATCGTCCTCCCAAAAACCTAATTATTACCATATATATAGTTCTTAACCAAAACAAAACCTCAAAATATTTCAATTAACTTATTAGCGTAATTGGATCCCAACTTTACAACATCTTTTCAATTTTTGATGGAAAAAACTAGTTGTTAATAGTTTATATAAAGGATTGCATAATCTCATGTAGTCTTAGTAATTAAAATAATAATAATAGTAATAAAATAAAATTTAAATATTTCTAATGAATCAACATAAAAAAAAAAGATATATTAAAAATATTTAAATAATTTTACAGATAATTTTAACATTTTAAATATTAAAATATTTCAATTTTCACCTTTCATTTTGTATAAAACTTACATATGTGTTTATATAAAACTTACGGTGCGTAAATTGATGCTGACTCTCTTACTATTTAATTATTTTCAAAGATACAAAATCACTAATTGTTGTTGTGAAGTTTTTAGGTAATCTGGCTCATCGTGCTGATGAAATTAAAGGTTGTCATTATGGAATCAGGCAAGATGGATTACCAACAGGGACTGCCGACATGGACCCATGGAGTTCTGGAAAAGTGCGAAATCCTCCGCGACTGTAGGGGGATAGAGGAAAATTCTGCAAGAAACAGAGATGATATGGAGAAATTCTGAGATCCCAAGTGCAACCCAAGCTGTTTTAGACAAGCCGCATCCCCATATGTTGCTGAGAATATCGGCTTAACCCCTGTGCCACCCTCCAACTTGTCATCATTGTGGAATTTAGCCCCTCAACATACAATGTACTTTATTTAACCCCTAAACTGCTTGTATCTTTGGCAATTGCCCCAAAATTGATGGCAGATGAGCATGTGACTCACATGCCTATCTCTACCTATTAACTTATGTCTATTAAATGCCATGTCATTGCCATGTTGGAGTAAAAATTGTCCAACTTGGATTGACAAGTGTGGTAAAACTCTTGTCCATCACTTTGGGTTTTTTTTTTTTTTTTTATTGTAATTTATTTAGCTTGGTTTTTTGTCTCTTCTAATAGAGGATATTACAATTGTAGCAGTTCAAAGGGGTGTTTGGCCAGGAAATAGGTAGAAAGAAATAAATCCAACCTAGCTAGCCATGATCACGGTAACATATGTAGTAAAGCACAACCACCCTACTTCAACACACCAGAACTCACTTGCTAACAACACAAGGCAGAAAGCCCTTCACCCCACAAACAACCATTGCTTTTGAATCCCCAATCCCTCCATTGCTAAACCAACCACCAATTCTTCCTCAACTACCTTTGTGGATGAGGAGCTTATATTGTAAATTACAAGAGAGAAAAGCAAAGATGTGGTGGAAGAAAAGGAAGAAGATGATTTTGGGGATATCATATGTGGTGGTTACTGATGATTTCTTTGAGATTTTAGAAGGTCTTGCCTATCATGTTAGTGGATACTTCTTCTTTAATCATTTTCAAGCTACTTTTAGCCTTCTTTGGATTGCTAACAATGTTACTACCACAACTGGTGGCATATGAAATTCAACAAAAAAACAACTTTCAATTCCTTTTTGTCTTGTACATGTTAAGAATTTTTTGAAGAAGTAATTATTGTAATATTT